TGAAGAAGCTTCTTGGATGAGAAGCGAAACGTCTTCAGAGAAAAACAAGAAAGTCCAGTTGCTTCCTGAAAAAAGCACGTTTGGGATAATCACGACCTGGATGACTGAGAACCTCCGTAGACACTTTGAACAAACGGTTTTCTGAGCAGTCTGAGGTAGCGATCCTAGAAGAGTTGGTGTAAGAATCCTCTTTGATTTTCATAACGGATAAACAGATATCCTGGGCTTCGTAAGATCATAACCTGCTGTCTGATCTTCAGAGATCACACATGGTTAATTGTATGTGCTCAAGTTCTTCAGCAGCAGGACGGATCTGATGCAAATTGTGTACATTTTAGCAGGCCGTCCCTGCAGAGAGAGGGGTGTCAAATCTGTGTAAAGGAATTTATCGCTAACCTTCAGGATGGCATGAAAGAGATGTTAAGAAGAAACTAGGAGAAGTGATTGCACAGTCCAGGAATTAGAGGAAGCAGGAGAAAGAAATTCAAATAATCCCACCTTGAATTGTTAAATTTAAGAAGAGACAGAAAGAAACTCGGATTGGCTGTCAGAACTGTGTTATTATACCTACAACAATCATGTAGCATTTCTGAAATCCACTCCACTCCACTCCACTCCACTCCACTCCACTCCACTCCACTCCACTCTATTCTATTCTATTCTATTCTATTCTATTCTATTCTATTCTATTCTATTCTATTCTATTTCTAGTTCTTCTCTTCTCTTCTCTTCTCTTCTCTTCTATTCTCTTCTCTTCTATTCTATTCTATTCTATTCTAGTTCTTCTCTTCTCTTCTCTTCTCTTCTCTTCTCTTCTCTTCTCTTCTCTTCTCTTCTCTTCTCTTCTCTTCTATTCTATTCTAGTTCTTCTCTTCTCTTCTATTCTATTCTATTCTAGTTCTTCTCTTCTCTTCTCTTCTCTTCTCTTCTCTTCTATTCTATTCTCTTCTCTTCTCTTCTCTTCTATTCTATTCTATTCTATTCTGGGAACCCAACGGAGTTGTACCCAAAGGGACCTAAATGTTGATAGACTTACTTCATTTGTTTCACAATAGTGCTCTTGCCTGATTCACCAGCTCCTGCAAGAAAGAAAACAAGTGTAAATATGACATACGGACTTGAACTAAATTGTCTTAAATTGAGCTATAGTTTTATTGGCTCAACAGATTTCCTCTTAGCCAGGGTTTGAAAAGCCACTTCAAATCTTAATTTGAATTTCTGTCTTCCCTTAGGTGTATCTCTAGTCAAAACAGCGTGCTCTGGTTGCTGTTAAACATTCATTTATTGGTCTGCCCAAACATCTGCCTGTTTTTTAGCATTTGGATTTACATGTAAGTCATTTGCCCCTAATTTGGTCAGATGGATAACAATAAAGCATCAGTCATATGGAAAGCATCCCTTGGGGTAAAACAAACAACGCATGACCAAGAAAGCATCAATTTCCAACTCGGTGAATATGCAATTTATCGTAATTATTTTGCAATGGCTAATTTCATAGATAGGACGACAATTTTGTCAACATTCTGCTTTTGCACCTGCGACTTGGCAAACAGGAAACCAGCCCCTGTTTAAATGCATTTTGGAAGGGGGACAGAACTGATCCCCAGTAATTTTGTTTGTGCTATAGAGCAGAAACACCTGCCAAAAAAAAATCATGTACAGTATATGCAAAATACATGGAAAGCTAGAGTATTACAGTACAGATAATAGAATAGATCAGAATAACAGAGTTGGAAGGGACCTTGGAGGTCTTCTAGTCCAACCCCCTGCTCAAGCAGGAAACCCTATACCATTTCAGGCAAATGGTTGTCCAATCTCTGCTTGAAAGCTTCCAGTGTTGGAGCATTCACAGCTTCTGGAGGCAGGTTGTTCCACTGATTAATTGTTCTAACTGTCAGGAAGTTTCTCCTTGGTTCTAGGTTGCTTCTCTCCTTGGTTAATTTCCACCTGTTGCTTCTTGTCCTGCCTTCAGGCTCTTCGGAGACTGGGCTGACCCAAATGTATCTGAAAGCCAAGGCTAGGAAGAGCAGAACTAATATTTTTTTTCACTTGAGCCTGTTGATGTGCCATGAGTTCTGTTGTTCCCCTTCCCTAAAAAATAAAGAAGAATTAAAATCTCCCAAGACCAAAATTGCTGGGAAAGATTGAGGGCAAGAGAAGAAGGGGACAACAGAGAATGAGATGGCTGGATGGAGTCACTGAAGCAGTAGGCGTGAGCTTCAATGGACTCCAGAAGATGGTAGAGGACAGGAAGACCTGGAGGAACGTTATCCATGGAGTCGCGATGGGTCGGACATGACTTCGCAACTAACAACAACAAGACCAAGAAGGATTTTTCTACAGGGAGACATCTGGATAACTTCAGGCTAGTCATTCTCAACCTAAAAACCCTGTCACACTCCACAATGACCCAGCCAAAGCATGGGTGCATTGATGGCTTGCTGTTGAACAAGCAAACAGTGGTTTGTAAGCATCCAGGACAAATGCGATTTTGGAAATAGAACAAGGGAAGAGATCTAATAGATTACGTCCATTTGGGAAACAAGACCTTCTAATGTGGAAACCTAGAAACTGATGGAAGATGCAGATCAGGATGAAACTAGGGTTCAAGGAGAGAGGGGGCATAGCACATGGCAAATGTTCTGTCATTATGCTGTCACAGCAACAGCTCTGCCCCTTTTGCGTATCTGTTGTGACCTCTCCCGCATGTCCAGAAAAGGCAGAGCTTGTGCAGTGAGTGTGCAAATGCTGCTTTTGTCCTTTGGACAAAAATTTTCCAATCTCGCTGTCCCTTCTGGAAGAATTTACTCTGTGCAATCCCAAAAGATCAGACTAGGTCTAATTTAAGCCACCAGACAGGATATGTTTGGCTAAAAGGTTTGGAGACCCTAGCAGCTAAATGCACGGGGATGATCAAACAATCATTTAAAGCAACTGCAATCTTTCAGTCACTGGAGATCTCCGAACAGAAGCTGTGTCTTTCCTCTCCAAAGGATTCCGATTAAATATCCTTCAAGACCCCCCTTGCAATTCTATCACTCTTAAATGTGAAATCATCTGTTTTCAAAAGCTCTTACAGCTTTAAAACACAACTGCGCCTGTCCCCTGTTCTCCTGCCTCTAATTTGTCTTTTTACATAACCTGCTGGCATTTTTAGAACGTGAAGGGCACTCGGTTGAATAATTCCACTCTTGTCAGGTCACAGCAAGGAAACTTTGACAAATGTTGTCATGCGACTCCATCAGAGCAGGCACATCTCACGGGCTAAATTCTTTCCGCTACGGTTGTATTTTTAACAAGCAAACAAAGGCCCTACTTAACACAAGTTTGATTTACTACAGTAAGTAGAAACGGTCTCATCAATACTGTGAAAATATTCAGAAAGTTCTAATCTTTCTACTGTTCACCAGATAAATCATTAACAGAATAACAGAATAATCACGCCAAAAACGTGCCCACCCCATTGCCGGAAATGGGGAAAAAGTTGCGATACATCACGACACGTCATGTGACGTTGTGAGTTTGACACCCCTGTTCTAGTCCAACCTCCTGCTCAGGCAGGAAACCCAATACCATTTCAGACAAATGGTTGTCCAGTCTCTTCTTAAAAACATCCAGTGTTGGAGCATTCACAGCTTCTGGAGGCAGGTTGTTCCACGGGTTAATTGTTCTCACTGTCAGGAAGTTTCTCCTTAGTTCTAGGTTGCTTCTCTCCTTGATTAGTTCCCATCCGTTCCTTCTTGTCCTGCCTTTAGGCACTTTGGAGAATAGCTTGACTCCCTCTTCTTTGGGGCAACCCCTGAGATATTGGCACATGTCTATCCTGTCATCCCTAGTCCTTCTTTTCACTGGACTAGATATACTCAATTTCTGCAACCATTCTTCGTATGTTTTAGTCATATGTTTAAAAGATATACAGACGACACACACAGAAAGACACACATTTCATGCACTTAGTTCACTATTTATTTTTTAATTTAGTTCCTCCCAAAAGGAAATCTTCTTTATCGAATAATTCACCTGTTAGGCCGCAAGACATGTTGCAAATTGACATTCCCAAACCTGAATTAAAAAGAAAACAAGCAAAATAAACCAAATCAGCAAATTTCTTAGTTCAATGGCCCTGGTTCTCACGCAGATTTCAAATGTAACTTTTCAAATTCATTTTTTGCGTAGATTTCTGCTTCAGCAAATAGATTCTGAGATTTCAGCGCCTATAACTCAGCAATCACTATTTCAGGAACACTCTCCTTGTTCAGACTTCCATCTGCAGTTTGGACCTTCACAGCATTTGGGATTGCAGTTCTCAATTTAAAAGCAAAATTGCAATCCACAATCAGTTTTTTTTCCCCCAGAAAAAACTGATATGAGATTTATGATTTGCAACATATCTGCACATTACTTTTAAATAAACCTTTCCTTCTTCCGCCCTGTTAGATTTTAAAATAAGCAGCTCTGACTAGCTGGGGGCAAATTAATTTGAAGAACAAAATTTAAATATCTATATTTACCCAACAGCAGCAACTTGACCGTCCTAGAATCCTTGATTGCATCTTCCTGAAGTCTTTTTTCAAGCTCTCGTGATCGCTTCATCGATTCTTTAGACTCAGCGCTGATTCTGCTCCCCATATCTGTGGCCTTTTGTGGTGCAAACTTATTGTCCAAGGAAACTGATGTCTAATTGAAAAAAATAAATCTATATATTTCAGACAAATAATGGAGCAGGCAAGTTCCAAGAAAGGTTGAAGGTCTTCTTCCAAATTCTTCTTCAGCTTGCTTACATTGACTTTGAGGCCATCCCATGCCCAAGAAGATAAGTCAGATGCCTTATGTCATCTACTCATTGTCACATCAGACATGTAAATGCCATTTTGAAGATTTGCCTAAATGTTTTTTGGCACATTTGCCTAAAAGCCAGGCAAAGCAGGAACTAACTTTGGGCATCCCATCCGGATTCTTTGTCATCGTTTCTCTGATAGGAAAATATGTTCCAAACTAAA